ACAGTATATCAAAGTATATACAGTATATCAAGATAAATAAGGATTAAGGTGCAAGTGTACATGTATCACACACAATGAAAAACAAAATAAAAATAAGAAATAAAAAATAAAAAATACAAGGGAGTAGCACAGAGATTTGAGGTGTCATATGTACAATCCAGATGGCTTATATACAGGTGGATTTACTTTTACATTAGAGTGTAGTAGGTGAGGAGCAACGGTGAGGTAGTGGTATGACTATTATATTCACATATATTGCACAGTCAACATATTGCAAAGAATATTGCAGAATATTGCACTATAAATAAGTTATTTGCGACAAGAACAAAAAAATGAATAAATAAGGTATTTGCCAAAAAACAGTAAGAAGAAGAACTAAAAAAGAAAATAAGTTATTTAACGAAAACCAGCTTCTGCAGCCAACAAAACGGTGTCAGTAAACCTGGGAGTCACTTGGGCAAGCTACTGGCAGGACAGCCGGACTGTCATCATGGTGGCTGCGTAGTGGCCTCTGCCAATATGCTGCCACCGGAGTGGCTGATGGTGGCCACTGCCGGAGAGCCTGCCACCAGCGTGGCTGCGTAGTGGCCGGTGGTGGCCGCTGCCGGCAGATGCTGCCCCCGGAGTGGCTGTTTAGTGGCTGATGGTGGTCGCTGCCGGCCGAGGCCACTTATTGGCAGATAAACTACTCCGTTCCATCAAGTAAATGTGACATTATAAATAGGGCCGGGTAAAAAAATCGATTTAATCGATTTTGAATCGATTCCTTTACATTTTTGCAAAATTGATGTCTAGGGAATAAGATCGATAGGTACATGACCTTCACATTCAAATGAGCAGGAAAGCACCCAAGATTACTTCAAGCCAGACAGCTGCAAATATAGCCTATAGGTTGACTGAAGACATTAACAAATGACCAACAAATGACCAGCAAAAACCCTGTAGTTGTTACAGACATCGCTGCAAATATGGTTTGTGCCGTGGAGATAATGCAGCTCATGCATGTCTGAGTGAGTGAGGCTTCGTTTTTTTCACTTTTCACAACCAAGTTTGCACTTATGAGACAGTTTTGTTCACATCTCAAGTTTAAACTATCTGATTTACAAGTTTGCACTTTGTGTTTAATATGACAGAAAATATAAAATACGACAGAAAAATATAACAGAAAAAAATAAAACACAGTTGAACCACTTTCATGATTGTAAAAACAGATCGAATCGAAATTAATCGATTTACAATTTTATTATTCAAAATCGAATCGATTCAGGACTTTGGTGAAAATACCCAGCCCTAATTATAAAAGTTTTAATGCAGTTTATTAAGCAATAACATCACAACACAAAAAAATAATAAAAAAAAAACACATTTTAATACAGGTTATTAAGCAATAACATTACAATATATATATATATAAAAAAACAATCTAGTTAGAAGTACTATAAAAAAAAGGCATTTGCCGAAAAACAGCAAGAAAAATACCAAAAAAATTATGAAATACCAAAAAAAGTAATTCAAAAAACTACATGACGACGAGCCACCGGAACTGCCACCGGAACTGCTGCAACAAGCCACAACGAGCATACGAGCCACCGGAACTGCCGCCGGAATTGTCTCCTGTGTGAACTGCAGTCAAACAACGCAAGTGTTCCATATGCGCAGTAGGGGACAAATGCCGTCACAGGCCAGTGTGCTCCGTGTTTACGGAAGTAAACATGGATGGTAGTGCTGGAGCGCATCTAGTGATCTTTCCCAACCATAAAAACACAATCTTTTCAAGATGGTTAAACATAAATACTACTCTCAGCCTCATCGTCCACCATGGTTGTTTTTTTTCTTGCCGCTTCTTCATAGACCCAGAATAGTGACCTTTGGCAGGTATTAATGGCGTTCAGGTCGGATGAATGTGACCTGGACGTTCAGACACGGGTCGCATTTGAAAAGATCAGATTCGTATCGGATTTAGGACCAGATGGCCAAGTGGCCTGGGTCGGATAGGAAAAAATCGGATCTGTGTTGTTCAGACAACCATGAAAAGATCAGATACAGGTCGCATATGGACCAAAAAATCAGATTTGGGTCACTTCAGGCTGCAGTGTGAATGTAGCTTTAGTTAGATCACTTAGATCTAGGTAGATGCTCTCTGCTTTCTTCTCCTAGGGCCTGTCAATAAATTAATAATGTTCTTGTAAAGGAAATTTAAAAAAAATTTTTTTTTTTCATTATAACAATAAATACCTTCCCCAGAGCCAGTCTAAGCGCCCGCGGATCAGGTCGCCGAGGTCTCCGCCTCTGGCTGCCGCCCAATCCCCTTTGCACCGGTCCCTCATGGTTCCCCCTGCAGGTGGTGGGCCCACTGGGGGGTGGCCNATGCTTTTACCAGGGTGTCCTAACAATGATGCAAAGTGGTCAAATGTGAGATGAAATCTAAGGTTTGTCTTTTAGCTACCCTAATAAACAGACTCTTCCTCTTCCTGTGGATCAATTTAAAAAAATCTGTAACTGTTCTGACCATCTTAAAGGAATAAATATTAGATCTGGGTGATTAAAGTTATTTAATCGTAAAACAATATTATGAGAATTCATCTTACATTGTCTTGTTGGTTATTTTCCAATGTTATGCTTCTGGTGGTCTTTGTATAGCTTCAACTTTAAATAAAATAGTAGTTCTATTTAAATAACGATGTGTGTTCAATTCAAACCAAATGTTTTTAAGGTTTTGGAGCACAGGTCAGGGAGGTTGGATCAGTAATGTTTATATTTGCTGTATTTGTTGGAGTTGAAATATTTTTGACACAACAACAACTCAACAGGATGATTACAATTTAATATGTTTCAAACGATAACCACATGTTTGTTTCAGTATAACTCAAGTGTAGTTGGAAAAGGAACCAATCAAATACCCGACCTTGACTTTTTGAAGACAATTTAAAACAATGGCCAGTTCTCAAATTCAAGAAATATACCAGTATATTATATGATAATTATTCTATTTATCCAGGCAACCACAAAACAGGCTTAAAGCAGAGGTGTTTCATTTTTCTGAAGATGAAAACAAGCTGACAGATTTGAAAAAATCTGAGGACGAGCTGACATAGTCAGCCTTTCCAGGTTTTATGACTGCTATTGAATCTATGAAATGTAACTTTTTATTTCTTAAGTAATTTCAGATACTTATGAAAAGCACACTATAAATAATATTTATCATTCTTTATTTTTCTAATAATTATAATCATTATTACCTCCAACTCTATTGTTGAACTCTACATCTTTATCTCCCAAAACTGCCATAACAGAAATGGTTTGTATGCACACATCCATCCATCCATTTTCCATCACCCTTATCCCAAGCAGGGTCGTGAGGGGTGCTGGTGCCTATCTCCAGCTGTCTGTGGGTACACCCTGAACAAGTTACCAGTCCATCGCAAGGCAACACAGAGACAAACAGGACAAACAACCATTCACACATACACTCACACCTAAGGACAATTTAGACAAGCCGATTCACCTAACAGTCATGTTTTTGGACTGTGGGAGGAAGCCGAAGTACACGGAAAGAACCCACACATGCTCAGGGAGAACATGCAAACTCCAAACAGAAAGACCCAGAAATCGAGCCTTCTTGCTGCAAGGCAGCAGTGCTACCCACTGCATCACTGTTTGCACACAATTAGTGGTAATTAAATTATTAAGTAACTTCAATAACTTGGTTGTTGTTGCTTTCACTGACTTCACAGCTACACATAGGGTGTTGGCATCTTGAAAGAACAACCTAAAGGTTTTGAGGAAGTTTGGTATGACAAGGGAGGACAAACCTGTTATATGACATTCACTTCAAACTTATCTAAAAAAGTAAATTAACATACCTAATTGATAAATAACGAACAACTAAGGAACAAACATCAAGTTGAAATACTTTTGTCATTTGTATTTCATGACGATCATACATTTAGATCTCATTGTAAGCTCTTTGAATGTAGCTAAAATTAACGTACAGAAACTTTTTGTAATGTAATCATGTGCATTAAGTTAAACTGTTGCATTGGAAAGCTGTTTCCATGCATATACCTTTATTTTCAACATTTCAAACCACCATCTATAAGTAGGCAGAAACAAGAGACATATAAAGCATAGCCTGAAAAAAAGGCCTGGAATGTCCAGGGCATGAAAATTAGCTATGCTCTTGATTGGGTGATTCATCTCCAAATGAAAATCTGAGTGTTCTGTTAATGGTTGGTGTAGTGTGAAAAAAGTATTGAACTATAACAGGGGTCGACAACGCAAACTGTTCAAGTCTTAGGGAGGTGGCTGTTCTTACTGTTCCAGTTCCGAAATCTCCCGAGTGGTGCCTGACTTTACACAAGTGAATAAAGTGAATGTGATTGGTTGTTTCTCAAGGGGGCATGATTGTTGTGGCAAAAGGTTCACAAGCAAGTTTGGTTGTGGCCGGTGTCTTGGAAGCATCATGCTAACCAGTTAGCAACTTAGTGCTAGTAGGTTCCCAATGGGATATTACTAAGTAGATAGTTTTAAAAAAAAAAATATGTGATGTTATTGTGATGTATCCTGCAATAAAACTTTTATAAAGTCACAATTACTTGATGGAACTAAGTAGTTCATCTGCAAATAAGTGGCCCCCATAGTGGACTGCCATAGCGGCGGCCGCTTCCAGCAGATACTGCCACTACAGTATCTGCTGGCAGCAGCCACTGCCACTATGCTGCCAGTGCGGTGCCACCGAAGTGCCAGCGTCGTGGCCGCTGCCAGCAGAGACTGACACCATAGTGGCCGTTGCCACCATAGTGACCATAGCCACTTATTTATAGTACCTCTGAGTAGATTCGGAGAAATTCACTGGTCACATATTGGCATAGTAATTAAAGAAGG